AAAAAAAAAAAAACAAAGAAAGAATGGAGGGATCCCATGGTGAAAATTATGAACTAACCGTAGGGTCACAGGATCTCTCCTAAGTTACCGTCAGGTTGTCTATTACTTAACTTTCGTCGTCCACTGCAACCGACTACTTCCACTCATATGGTATCGCTCCATTTTCTCTCTCTTCTTTCACTTTTGCTTTTCCTATCGATTTCAGTAATCAGTCTGCAGGGCAGTCTCACGAGTTAATCTGCTAGGTCTCTTCACCGACTAACACGATGTAGTGCCGGTTCTAGCGGAATGACACAAATCGTGGTAAAGATAACGGACGTCTCATGTAAGGCCGAAACCGCAAAAAACCCGGAAAAAGGGTGAACTTCCCGTCAAGCCTATAAGATCCTATCACGTGTAATTTTAAATATCGCTTGGTTCCTAAAGATACCCTCGTTTTTCATTAAAGCCATGGTACTTGAAGTTGACAGAATGGAAGAGAAATACCCCAAAAATGACTGAAATAAACTGCCAAAAACCCTCATAAAGGGTAAAAATCCCGTCAAGACTATGAGGTCTTATCACGAAATTAGTGTGCATCCAAAAAAATTAAAAGAACTGACGAGGAAGAAAAAAATAGTAATCTCTCGAAAATTTTAAAAGGAGGGTAGAAAAGTAGCTCAAACTCGGTTTTCCGTTTCAAACCTCAAAATGTCAAAATTTTGAGGTCAAGATTTTTTAAGTGATGGTACCTACGCCTGCCTCTGACCTACAACGAGCAAAATGCAGGTAATTCTGCTGTGAGTCTGAGAATGTGAGAGTGCCCTTCAGCTAGTCTCTGGCGCAACCAGCCTACCTTTGAAGCAAGTTAAGTTGCCTTAGTCACCAATATGAGGAGACATAGTTGGATTTGTTGCCTACAAGAAGAAAGGAGACGCTGAGGGACAAAACAAGCGCAGTTCTCTTAACACTGGCCTTTCAGTCTGAAACGTCAAAATATTTTATATCTGTTGAAGTCAAGATTTTTGACAATCTCTTAATCTCACTTTCTTTTCATTTTTCAATTTAGTTAAAAAAAAAAATCCACTGTCATACATCAATGAACTTGACTCCATTTTCCACTAATTATTCGCCTTCATATCAGGTAGTCGCAACTCTTCTTACCTACAATAGCTCTGTCCATATAATACCTACGGGACCTCCCTCGTTTGGATCAAGAATAGAATAAATATTTTGAATTCAGATTCTAGCATTCTCTCTGAAGATTAAAAAAAAGTCAAGTAAATGAAGTTAGAATTTTTTTTTAAAAAAAATGAATTAAAATTCATCAATTCAAACGAGACGGTCCCGATACTTCGGTACCTCTGTAAATACGATTGAATACAAAGTAGCGTGAGAAATAAATAACAGTCCTAAAACTCTCTTCGCTGTGTAGTTTATAGTTCCTACATAATTATCTCTGAAAGTCAAGGATTCGCGTTTTTTTCTCCGAAAACTTTACCACCGGTGATAACCTTATTCGGAGCACAGTAGAATTCGCCTACATCTAGGTTATGTGTCTTTCACCTAGGAACTGGAGAGTATTGCCATCCTTTTTCCCCTCTCTGATTGGTTCATGAGTTTTGGCCCCGCTGGCACTCTTCTGGCAATACCCCCTAGACTATTGATTTCGTTTATTGTCTCACCATTTATCTATTAATATTTATAATTCTCTCATTTATTTGTGACCCTGTTCGCGAAGTCCGGAACAGGGTTATCGTCAGGTTTTCGAATATTTCAGGCGTCAATGCTTTTTACCTCTTTTTCTTGGGAGGAATCCTCCCTCAAGGCACTTTCACCTCCCTCAAGGCAGTTTTGAACCTCAGATATTAAAATTGATTCGACTAAAACTTAACATTCTTAATAATAATGCTGAAATGATGGTTAGGCGACTTCAACTCCTTTTTCCCCGGGATCGAAATAGTTTAGACCCTGAAAGGAAAGTGCCCCATCATAATTTTGCGAGACCTGCGGGAATAGGGACAGAATAGGGATCTAGAAAGGGATGCCATACTGGGTGAATTGAAACCTCTAACTGTAATGTTCACAGCGAGATTCAATGCTTCAAAGCTAAAATAATATGTCATGAAACCATATTAAGTACAATCCTTATAATATGACAGAACCGTGATCCAGCGTTGACGCCGATTTCGGCCGTTGGTGTCTTCGACTTCAAGCGCTCCTAACTTCTGTAAAAACAGTCATTAGTCCAAAAATTGAGAGTCTCTCTTGTAGCATTTTTCGCTGACTTCACTTTTCCACGACCATTTTCGCCGTAAAATCGCCCAGAAAAAAAGGTGTCCAGGAAAAGCGACAAAAATGACAATTTTTTCAAATTTCCCGCGGTTTTCAGCGCGCTCTGGTGGACGGTACATGCATTGTATCAAAACTTTGATGCATGTTTCAAAATCAAAATTTAACGTACTTTCGCTTTGCGGAACTTTATTTGTCGTCCGACGCACAGGGAACGAGTTATTACCGATTCTTGGACATAAATGAGATTTGGCAACGTCTTTTCAAGATGGCGGCTTTAGCGGCAAAAATCGAAGGTAGCAAAGTTCAGATTCGAACTCAGCGCTAAAAAACACATAGGATACATATGCTAGAGATTTTTTTCCAGAATGTGGAAGGTAAACCCCTATTTTGGGATAGGTTGGCTATGGACTGTTGTGCATTCGCATGAGGCAGAAAAGGTCGATTTTAGCAACTTTCGGGCGGTCTGGCAACCCTTTCCCAGCGGAGTTCGACGGTCTGGCAAGGTAATATCTAATCAGGGAAGTCACCCCTACAATATGAGACTAAAACCAACTATAATACTTTCCCGTTAAATTTTACGCAATTTTTCGGAAATTTGATGGGTCTCAAATTTTGAACCCAGCGGCTATGACCAGCCAGACTGCCCGATCCTTGCTACACTCGAGTGTCCCGATCTAAGAATGTATGTGAAAATTCTTATACTCTCCGGTTAGATAATTCGGTGCTGGCTCTTGGACTAATAGGACCCATGCCAGAGTAGAAGGGTGACACGTGTTGTGAGCAGGTAGGGATGGGTTTACGTGGAGAGGGAAACGGAAAATCAGAGGGTGTAAGGTCCCCCAACCATATGACTCGTCCAGCGGCGAAGACGCAAATATGTCGTTTTCAAATCGAGGTAAATTTTGCTATATCGGTCGCGTAAATCGAAAAACCAAGGGGTGCTGGCACATCTGCAGCATTAGAGCTTTCAGTTAAAACAAATCCGAGGAAAATCGGTCCAGTAGTTTCCGAGATCGAATTAGCACAAAATGTCCAAACTGAAGGAGGACAAGAAAGCCTTAGGATATTAAATATACAGATTAATAAAACATCTGAAATGGTGCTTTGCCCTCCCCCCTCCAAAAAAATTTTCAAGATCCAAAAGAAAAAATAATGATCCATTACTTATATATTGAAATATTAATACATAGAAACTCCTTGATTACTCATAAAAACATAAAAACCTATCACGGCTCCAAAAAAAAAATAACTTTTCTAGAACACTTAAAAAATTTATCAAAGATGAACGTATCACTTAACGAAGCCAAATTAGTTGTTTCAATGCTGCCCTACTCGGACAAGTAAAAAATATAATCGGTAAATAAATGAGAGAATTATAAATATTAATAGATAAATGGTGAGACAATAAACGAAATCAATAGTCTAGGGGGTATTGCCAGAAGAGTGCCAGCGGGGCCAAAACTCATGAACCAATCAGAGAGGGGAAAAAGGATGGCAATACTCTCCAGTTCCTAGGTGAAAGACACATAACCTAGATGTAGGCGAATTCTACTATGCTCCGAATAAGGTTATCACCGGTGGTAAAGTTTTCGGAGAAAAAAACGCGAATCCTTGACTTTCAGAGATAATTATGTAGGAACTATAAACTACACAGCGAAGAGAGTTTTAGGACTGTTATTTATTTCTCACGCTACTTTGTATTCAATCGTATTTACAGAGGTATTATCAGGTAATCAAAAAAAAAAAAAAAAAAATTAAAAATGGTGTTCCGGGGATCGATGAGTTGGTGCGCCATTTGACCGCTGGAGCGCCCTAGTATACTAGGGCTCTAGTATGGCAAATCGAAAGCAATAAGCATCGCCTATAGGCTGAGCGCTTAAAAAGGGATGGGCAAGGGGGGGGGCAAGGATGCAGTGGCGTAACCAAGAATACGCCCCCCCCCCGAACTGTGGTGCTGCGCTCCCCCATTTCATAAAATTTGAGCGACGCACTTTTCTCTCAGGAATTTCCGCGCCCCTTCTTCCCCCGCATTCCTCTCTCCCGGCGCACGATGGATCGAGTCAATGGGAGAGGTCGGTCGTGGAGCTTTGCGCCTCTGATTCTACGAGGTTAACGAATATTCCTGGTCATTTGATCTACCATATGCCATTTATCCTACGTAATTTTTCGCGTAGAATTCATTTTTGTTATTATTTTTGGTGAACAGAGTACCTGAGGACCCGTTTTTGTGCATTTTGTCGAAGAAACTATACAGGTGCAAAGTTTAAGCGTCTGTG